TGCAAGGCTGTGGCTCAGACATGCATGTTCAAAAGAAAAGCCCACATCTCTGGCCGGAAGGAGGAACACGCCTACGTCTAAACATTATGAAAATGCAAATATCACATCACTGAACTTTTGAAGAAGGTGATTAAAGGAAAGAGGGAGGCTGTGTTCGTGCAGTCTAACAAGACTGCCACTGGTGGAAAACTTGGAAAAAATCCTGGCACAAGCGACAGCTGTTCTACTTTTCCATATTTTGACATGATAAACAGCATGTAAGGGCACGTTAATTGGAGTATGCGCGGCTGCATGTGAATGGAAATACTAGTGGAATATTCATTTTTATTAGCTATGTAAACAGTTTAGTAGAAATATTGTGTTTTTTGGAATAAGGGCAAAAAACAGATTTGTCCATGTAAACCCAAGAACCTTGATTTGAGTCATATCTGGGGCTTAATAAGCACTAAAAATCCTGGGAACATAGTGGCATCTTTGCTAAAAATCAACGCAGAGGGTTAAAAATACCAAAGAGGTCCAACAGGGCTTCAGTCCCGAATACATTCTCAAGTGAAAAATATAGCTGTGAACTTGAGAGTAAGGGAGGAAAGAGTTATACTCTGCCTTGGATTTTTAAGTGACAGAGTGACAGTCTTGGGAGTGGAGGGACAAGGGTTCAAAAATGTATAGTCCCCTTCTGTATGTCAAATCTGCTTTTAAATACAAGAATTATTTCCTGTGTGCTGTCAAGATGCACCAAGAAAAGGATGACATATTTGTCCTCAGTGCGTGTCAGATGAAGGCAATGCAGCGAGGTTACACAGATGATAAAGACATGTAAAAAAAAAAAAAAAAATGTTGAGAGGCTAAAGTGTGCTGTTTTGAGAGTGCGTGGGTGGACTGAGGACTCCTTGATTGAACATTTCCCATGGACCTGAGCATAACCCCAACCGCAGCTTTGCGGCAGTGCGGTTGGACAGTGGCAGTCCAGGAGAGGCAGGTGAGGTGCTCCTGAATACGAGAGGAAGTAGCTCGTTTAGAGGGATGGAAGGATTTAAGGAGAGGAGAGGTGAGCACTCCTTCAAAGCCCTTTGAAGGCTGGCTGCGGTAGGCAGAGCCGCGGTTTTCCCAAAAAAGCCCCCCTAACAGGAAAACAGTCTCTTTTTTTTTCCATTGCACAAGAGCAACCTCTACCCCACAGCCGAAAGCAAGGACCCGCTTTGAACTCGCAGGGGGAAGAAAACCGCAAATCATTTTATTAAGTGCTTGGAATACTCGCACGGTTGCGTACGTTACACTTAAACACACACGCTGTTGACGGACAAACACATGCTCTCCGCTCGGTTTTTATATGTGCCCTCGCTCACACAGGAAGACACACTGTGAAGGATGCCAGAGCTTGTGACTCATCAGAAAACTCCCTTTCCCCTCTTCCCTTGTTCCTCTCCTCCCTATCTACACCTCCGCTCGTTCTCTCTCAGTGCCAATGTTAGCACGCACCGAGTGACCTTCGCCTAAAGCTCAAAGGTCAGCTGTCTCTCAGTGAGAAGGGGAAAGCACCTAAATGTCTGTCTTTTGGCTTGGCTGACATTAACACAAGTCATCCAAATGAAATGACAAATAAGTTATGTGGCCATGCCTTTTAGAATGACAGGCGTTTTCTGACCTGAGAGCCCTATTAGCACGCCATTTGCCTGTGCCGTCTATTTTACGACGTGACAATGATATGGTCAGGTTTAGGCACAAGTCAAGGTGGGAATTTCTTTCTGATCTTCTTTTGTGCTTCCTCACAACAACTTTTGTGTTACCTCGCATTCAAGTTTGCATTCCCCCTGATCTATACAGTAGCACGTTGGTCCAGTCCAGTTACACTGCCAGCTAAACGCTCCGCACATACTACACACACTATATTTTGCACCTATTTCTCATAACTCATTTCAAAAGGCTGAGTTCCAACAGTACACAACCACTGGCTGCAGCTGCTCTGCCTGGTTGTAAGTTAGTGGTTGAAGCTGCGGCTGCAGATATAGTTACTGCTCGGACTACGACTGCATTTGTGGTTGAATCTGCGATGCTATAGATACGGTTATGGTTATGATCTCCAACCCACAGGGGATTTGAACCCGCAGCGCTTCTATCAGATATGACAGATGTGTTCCCAAACACACCACAAGAATACAGCAGCTTCAAAACAACGCTCCGCCAGCAGCACAACCGTGTCAATTCACTGCGCGCGCACACACACACACACACACACACACACACACACACAAGCCCTGCACGTGTTGCGCCCATTATAAACTGATTTGCTATAGTCATAGTCTGTCAAAATCAGCTGCAGCAGCAATGGCACAGAGAGCTAGATTAACTAGTTTCACTAACTAGCTGTGGATCAGAAAGACTTCAAAGTGTATTGAGAGAGAACACAAAAGCATTTTGACATAACACAATGCTTAAGTCAAAATGAGTAGCTGCCATTTTGGGCTACTCGCTGAAACAACTAATTGACATCATTCTCCTTTAGAGAACCCCCTTCTTTAACAGGTTAGCATGCTAGCAAAGAGCTGGTCCAACTTTATGGCAGCAGCCTGCTATTTTATCAATGTGTTGCTTTGCCCTCTGTGCTCACATGTTGAACAACTGTTGAGATGAGCAGGCCTCAGCTAGCAGGTAGCACACACGGTCGCCATAGCGCTCGGAGAGCCAAACATGCCTCCAGTCTATTGTCAGTTCAACTCATCACATCTCAGAACTTTGCCATCAATAACCGAAGACGTCCCACGCCAGATAAGGATACTTATAGGCACTAAGTGGGCACAGACACACTAGCAGACCTCACACACATATCCCTCTGCATCTGGAGGAAATGTGTGGCTGACACATGCAGGCCTAGCAGGGTGCAGGGAGTGGCAGGATGAAGCATTTGCCCCTGGATTCTCTTCACACAGTGGGAGACATCTTGGGCGTCACGCTGACGAATGACAGGTATTTTAACAGGAAACGCAAGGGCGCACACACGCACTCAATTTGTCACTCAAAGAGAAAACATAGGGCCACTTACTGCAGGACGACAGCACCTCTAAAGTGGAGACAATGAGTGTAATGTGGGCTCTTTATCACACCACATCCATCGCCAGGTCTAAATATAAATTCATATCAGGGATGGGAATGATCCAGTAAGGACAGAACAGAAAATATACTACACATGAAATTCCACCTGGAGTCAAATCACAATATTAAACTGCCATTCAAGGGAACTTTAGAGTGCTATATTCACAGTGGAATCAGGTGCCAGAGCCTGATATGGTAGCAGAAAACGAAGGACTGGCAGAAAGATTACTTTGCCCTGTCAAACTGTTGAGGCCATAAGAGAAAAATATATTGGATGTGTTGACTTAACTCGCTCAGGTGGACGGAGCCAAGAGTTCTGAGGGATCCTGCTTTTCAAAAGCAAAAGAAAAACGATTATGTTACTGCAGCTTTCTCCGTCTCAATCCGTCCGCTTTACTGTGGGGTTCATAAATACCACATACAACTGCACACACACACACACACACACACACACACAAAAATCTGCACTATGTTGCTTTGGATTAGCTTCCACATCATGTGCCTTCAGCTGCTCCTGGCTCTACCTCCCTCGCCCTGTTATTGATGGAAGCAGAGCGTGATGCAATTAAATAATGATGATTAATTTGCAAAAACAGGGCAGTGGTGGCCAGATGAGCAGCGCCTCGCTTCACCACACGTGTTCGACTCAAACATTCTCCCCTCGGTTTACACTTTTTTTCTTTTGCATTCTCCCTGACCTCGGGGAACAGCGAGGATTCAGAGGCCTTCTCCTCTTCGTGGAATGATTCCAGTCATTTGCAGTGAGAGTGAGAAGTAGGTCAAGTGGCTGACACTGTTTCAGTGTGCAATAGGGGCATACTTTAAGGCTATTGAAGCAGTTAAGATAAGCAATCTGTATGGGACTCTCGCTTTCACTACCAGGCTTGTTGCTGCTTGTAAGCGGAGAGGAGATGAGCCAAGAGAGTCCTGTCACACCTTGACCACGGTGGGCTTCAAGGGCGTAGGTTTGATTTCTGCATTGAGGGGGCTTTGAAATGGGGGCCTCCTCTGCCAGCGAATTTTGAGTATTGAACACTTTATTTCCAGAATTCTGGTGATTTTGTTCACACCAATTTGTGTGTTTTCTGCATTACTTTATGGTGTAAATGTATTTGATTTTGTCCAACTGAAAGCCATCTGCTACTTTCATGTCTTTGGGGGGGGCAAATGCACATGCTCTAAATCTACAGCCATGGTGGGCTTCACCCTTCAAATCAACCTCATCACCACTTTAAACCTCAATGAACCACAGACACAACGTCAAGCTGCCTGACTCATTCTTGTACTTTTCTCTTTAAAGTTGCTTCAGTGCTGAAAAATAATGTTTTTTTTAACACACAAATATTTTTCAGGTGGTGGCGTTAGAGCGAAAAGGGAAAATATTAGAAGTGACAAACGCATTGGGAGACTTGGCCAGGGCAGTGTCGAGGAAGACGGGAACCGAGAAGCGCGCTGCTTGCTTTGGCATCCGCGCTTGGCTCTGATTCCAAGTCGCTATTAAAGCTCACTGGCTCCGTATAGTCCACCTCTTGTACCTCGTATTAAATCCTCGGCGCGGGCTGTTTTTCTCGCCTTTTTTTTTTTGCTACGACCCACGGGCTAGCTGTAAACCGAGGAGGCTGACACCTGTCTGCGGTGTCCGCCGCTCTGATCCAACGCGCCCCGCTGATTCAGCGACCCAAAACACCTACTTATACAGTCACACACGAGCTCAGCCTGTAATAAAGTAATGACAGTCATTGCGTTCATTTAAAACAAATGGCAGGTAATGGACAGCCCGTCTCAGCGAGCGCCCTGAGTCACTCACCTCTTTTCTGAGAGAATAAGCGGTGCGTAAAATTGGAATGAACTATCCACGAAAACACGTTGGATGCGGAACAGAAACAGAGAGCCGCAGATTATAAACTTACCCCGGTGTCAAGTCGTGAATCTCGCTGTCTTTGAATTTAAAAGGACGTCCCTCCAGAGATCCACACCAGTTATTAGCCTTCAGGTTCTCTTCCGTCAGAAAGTGTCCTCTCCAAACGCAAAAGTGTTTCTCACACTCGCCTCGTTAAAATATTAAAAGGAGAAGAGGAAAACGCGCAGCATAGTGAAAAAGTGAGGGGGACACCGAGAGGAGGTGGACCGCTGCATCCGCGCCCGGAGCTCAAACCAACTGAAAACCGTCCAGTACATCCATAGGTTGTAAAGCGAGCCCGGGGTAGGCTACTCCCCATTAAAATCAAACCCAGATTTCCCCCACCATGTGTGTGTGTGTGTGTGTGTGTGTATGTGTGTGTGTGTGTGTGTGTGTAGGAGAGAGGGAGAGAGAGAGAGAGAGGTCTAAATATTCCAACAGCCCCACTGCGTTTTGCGTTTTCCTAGCTCAAGTTTAATTTTACCTGCCATTGACTGATGCGTGCCATTTCCTCGTGTAGCCAAAATAACGCGCGCTAAAACACTTGACCAAACGACCACTTGCTCCTAGATTTGTTTTCCCCTCAAACAACACAACTGGTCTCACTTTTACAACAAATACCTCCGCCGCTTTACGGACTCATTCTCACCGCGCCGCATGCCTCTAAATGCCCCATGGCTCGCTGTGTTCACAGGCAGCCATATGGAGGTCGTAATGAGAACACAACGTTGAACCTGTTGAAAAAGAGTAGACCTAGCGGGGCTCCGGGGCGCGCCGAAACAAGAGGCAGATGCAGGGTGTTGTAATTTATTAATCCTAATAACAGTCCCAACACGTGTGGGATTTATTAGCCTGCGCGCCAAGGCAGCGACTATGTTGATGGTTTTATTAATATGTAATAATTAAAGTAGCATCGAATTAAGTATATTATAGTATTGGCTCGTGGTTGCATCATGAGGAGGGATGTGTGTGCGTGTGCGTGCACGCAAAGAGCGAGAGAGGTTCTTTTTGGCACAGAAAATGTGGCCCTGCGCCCTCGGCCATGACAGCAGCACATTAACTCATTAACTGCATTCATATGGCTTTATACCCCTATGTGTGTGTGTGTGTGTGTGTGTGTGTGTGTGTGTGTGTGTAGGTTAAAGAGCGACAGCTAAATGTGGTTTGTCGTAGTGATGAGTGTCTGCAATTTTATACAGCCTATTAGGGGAGAGCGTGCGTAAAAGCGCACTGGAGAGGTCACTGGTGACTTAAAGCAGCTTTTAAAATTGAAGTCAGTGGTAATTACTGATATTAATATTGACTTCTGTCTACATGAAGCAGTGGGAGAACATAAATGGCGTTAAGGTGGGGTTTTTTGAGCTTGTTCCAACTTTCAAAATGTCTCAGCCAAACGCATCTGCGCACCACAACTACTCATTTTGTAAATGCGCATGGAATAACATTTTATAACATTTTACATTTGTGAAACCACTCCAGCAGAGGCGCGAGGACAGCCACAATCCGCTTCATAATTCCCGTTAATTTACAGGCGACAGCCCGCGCGCTGCTCTCTGTGTTGGTGCAGGTGCAGCCTTCGAGCATCACGGCAGATCAAAATCCCGAGCACCTCCCGGCCCCGCTGTAAGCTGATCAACATTCCTCCTGTATTTACTGTACCATCCTCTGGGGGGAACAGCCCGGCCCGGCCCGGCTCGGCTGGGCTCGGCCCGGCCCGGGACCAAGCTGCGCTTTGGTGCCTTTATTCCAGTAATTCATCTCACTACAAAGCCCGTTTAAATATGTATTCAAACCCGCGGATAATTCAGGATAAAAAGCATTAACCCCAATCCTGAGTGTGTGTGTGTGTGTGACCCCTGCACGAGAACACACCTGCAGCCAGCACTCATTAATGGTGTCAGTGAGGGAATGGGGCAGGACAAAAAAAAAAAAAAGAAAAAGACACTGCCAGTTAATGGGGTTTACGCACAAAAGGGAAAAGTGGTGCCAGCTTCATCTAAAATAGGATAAAATTAATTAACTTTGATCAGACTCGAGCTGGGATAAATGGCACACGAGCGAGCGCGAGGCTATGAGCTATTGCGCAGGATGTTAAAGTATTGCATTTATTTTGGAAGTGAAAACTTGACACATTTTCTCCCAGGAAACTTCCAGTCTGCGCACATTCATCTGCCATCATGCTGTATTTATTGTTATTACTCCTTATGCTCCTCTGGCCTCCTGTCCAATTACTTCATCCTCCTTTAGTCTAAGCCCAATTCTTCATTTCAAAATCTCCTCTGCTTCTCGACGATTTTCTCACGTGAATCAGCCCCTAAAATAACCTTTTCCTCGGCTTCACACAGCAGTCTAAATTAGTTTTATAATGAATCCTCCTTATTCTCCTCTAATTACATTTTTCATTCCTCCCTGCTCTATTTCTTTCTTCTTCTTCTTTTTCTGCTAACTTTATGAAATTAATCTTATTGTGGGAATGACGCTGTAAACACACTTTTGTCATTTGCTTTACTGTTTTCAATTTAAAATGTTGAGGCATTTGGGGAAAGCAGGCCAGTAAATGGAGAATTTGGAACAATCGCAGCAAGCTTTCAATAATGTGGTCAAACAGAGTTTCTTGGAATTGAGCACAATGCTGCAAATCTTCAGTGAGAAAACAACAAACTGAAACATTCTGGTGTCAGCTCATCTGTTTCTATCACAGACACGCAGAGCTGTGTCCCTTCACACAGTCCAGGCATTTTCCCCACACAGGGCCAATTTTGACGCATTTCTGTAAAATAAAGGAGCCCCGCCAGCCAGGCACTAATCTAGTTAGATTATCTCTCCCATTACAACTGGGAGAGATTAGACTGCGTTAAAGACAGAATGAAAGAAAGCAAGACTTACAACAGGCAACACACTCACTTGCTGTCAGATGGGATTCAAGCGGGGAGCTCTCCTCGGTCCTTTAGAGTTGGTGCACTTGGATCAGTGTGCTGATTTTTGTCTGCAAAACAAGCCTCAGTGGTGTGTCTGTTCAAAGCCCCGGGGCTCTCAGCGCTGGGTTCCCTGCGGCGGACACCCTGGAGAAAATGTCAGCCTCCGGCTTTTTCCTCGCTTCATTTTTTGGCACCCCTGCTGTTGGGCGCCCCTGCTGTTGGGCGCAAGGAGCGATGCTTACCTTGTCCTTGGGGGGAAAACCCCCTACCTGGTTTTCAGTGATTAGAGGGCGCCCTCCTGTGGCTGAGCACGTGTAAAGCTCCGTCACGTTTCTGGCCAGAGAGTCATCCTCACAGTTCAGCATATTTTACATCCTGTTAGCTCAACTTCATCGTCGTCCTTGTCCTCATAATATAAGAAGTCGTTTTAATAAGAGACGATTAAACAACTTCATTTAGAAGCTATGTTTAAGTAATATATTAGACCTCTGTCAGTGCAGGCGTTCAGACCTGTAAGCACAGGTGTTACTAATAACAGTAATGATGCCCTGCTGCATTAGGTTGTCCCTGTAAGTCCTGCACGTGAGCCAGCACATACAACAGAGCACTGGCACTTAAATGGAGTGCAGCCATCATTAGTATTAGTTACACCTGTGTCTGACTGGCCATAGTCTTTACTTCAAGAAAGGTCCTGTAATAAAATAAAATAAAGAAATGAATGAAATAAAAATAAAAATAAAAACAAAAAATAAAATAAAATAAAATAAAATAAAATAAAATTAAATTAAATTAAATTAGGCCTAAATAATAAAATAAAAACAACAAAATAGAATAAAATAAAGTAAGAGTATGATCCATAGCCCCGGTCTCACTTAAAATATGTGACCACACAGAGTAATTTTTTAGGATTTTGTGTCTCTTTTTGAAAACCGCTTAAGAATATTTCCACACTATGTTGTGTTTGCTTGTTCCAAGGTTTTACTGAGTTTGATTTTATTCATTAGAATTTTAAGACTGTGTTTTTAAGGCCAAATTGGTGACCCATTCAGAACCTAATTCAGAATCTAATTATTTATTTATTTTATAACACACACAAATGGTGGATTTTTGGGTTATTTATTTATTTATTTATTTGTCAGTAGATGGTCTTGACTGACTTTTTTTTTCAAAGAAGAAAAACATGACCTAATTTATTTTTCATGGATGGTTAACTTATATCAATGAATAAAGTGATGCTTTACAACACATTGCATATATATATGTTTACTCTGTATTCGTCACCACAGCTCTGAAAATCCTAAATTTCTGAAGTATTTCCAGAAAAGGTATATTGAAATTGTATTTTGTGTGGACATAATCAATAAAATGCATTATGAGCGGATTGTATCATTAGAAAATCACCTTAGAACACTATTCAAACAGTATTTCACCATTTAAAGAGTGTTTCCCTTTTATCCCAGTGACATCCAACATCCACTCCAATGGACGGAAATGTCTGGAAAAAATCCTTAGTGAAATCTTTCACATGATTTTTTTTTTAACATAGCAAACATATTTTACTCAAACCATATGATTTATAGACTAAAAATTGCACTTCCTCCTTGCCTTACAGTCAGCCATGCTTGTTAAAAAAAGTGGTTGTGGCTCTATACAGTCCACTAACACTAGACATCCCATCAAATAAATCTATGCATTTGGGTGGAGTCAGAAGACGGAAATCACAGATTTACACATCCTAGAAAAGTTATGCACATTGGAATGGACGGGGGTTAAATCAAATGCAAACAATTTCAAAGTGTTTCATAGATTTACAAATACTTGTCTGCACAGTATGGACCCACAGGTGTGCCTAATACGGTTTAACACTTCCTTAATGTCATTTGAGATATAAAAATTCTCTGGTTAGGAGCCTCCTTGAGTTTTTGTCTTGTTTTGTTTTAGTTCACCTAAGTGTATTATGTGTGTCCAGCTAACACTGTGTGAAACTTAATAAAATGTAAATAACAATAAAAGAAAATGCTTTGGTTATTTCTGACCTCCTCAATCAGTGTGAAGTCTTTAAACTCTCAGCAGTGATCATGCGATGTTTTGGCATGTGGTTACATCATTGCCATGTTGTTTAACCAAAATGTAACCACATATACCTCAAACGGCATATTAGGGAGCAATTAGCTTGTTCATATGGAGACAAATGGGCAGCAACACGCCTTGTCACCATCTGGACCTCCAAGAAAACAACAATATTGTTCTTAAATTAACTAGGGCCTTTTCTGCTCACTGCTGCTTTTCATTTAACCATTTCTTACATTTATGTAACTTACATTCTTGTATTTTATATATGTTATTCTATTTTAGCTCATATTTATTTTTTATTCACTTGCTCTTTAATGACAAATTGTTTCTAAATGTCCATTTATAATGTGGGTTTTACACTTTGTCTTGACATTTCTGATGTTTGATAGGTACTTTGAA